GCGTTCGGCCTTCAAGATAAAACAACTTGGCTGGTATGAAAGACGCTGGTTATAATTCCAGGGCTTAAGAAACGAGGTCAACTCCTCTCATTCATTACATCAACAATCCTCCCTTCAATGTTGTGCCTTAGACGTTGAAAACACAATAACCGTTCAACGGGGGAGGAGAGAAAAAATTAATGAAAACCGAACAAAAGATGCGTTAACGCGAAAAAAGAACATTAATTAGGAGGAAAAACAAACCGAGCATCAATACGGNGGGGGGGGGGGGGAGAAGGGATAAACTCCCGAGTTGCCAGATTCTCGAGAGGCCCGAAGAAGGAAGCTATGTTTTATGCCTGTTTGGTTATCTATTATTAACATCAAAATGATTAATATCCGAAGAAGTTGCGTGATCTTTCGTGACTTTTGAGGCCGTTCAAATGCGGCACTTCGAGCTATAGGGGGCCGCGAGGTACTTTGGAAAAAGTACACTTACGCGGGGCCTTTTACGACCCTTTAGGACTCGGCTTGACCCCCTCTCAGTGGGACAAGTTCCTACTCCTCCTCCTTACTGGAAAAAAAAAAGAAAACACATTGGATCCAGAGTCCAGACTCTTGAAAACATCGACAAGAAAATGGACTCTTGATTCAATCAGATTTAAGCTTAAGTCAAAAGGAAATCCGCTCAGATTAAAAGGCTTGGTTCTTGATTTGAGCTTAAATCTGATTGAATCAAGAGTCCATTTTCTTGTCGATGTTTTTGAGAGTCTCGAGTCTAGATCTGATGTGTTTTTTTCCCAGTGTTCGCATGAAATTTTAGAGTTCATACATGTTAAATCCTGTTTTTTTTTTTTTTTTGTAATTCTCTTTTCATGAAATTTACTGTAAATCTTACATATTCTGATCGATTATTTGGATAGTTTTGATTTCACACAAAAATCAATGTGGGTCGCTATACAAGGATTCTATAAGGGTTCTGAAGTCCCCCTCCTGGAGCGTCACCCGAAACTGAACCACAGTGAAAAAACGTCAATTTCTCTCAGTTTGATACAATTTTATCGTAGATTTTTTGTTAGCAAAAAAAGCAACAGGGTTATCTACCCTGGAAAAACACATTGGATCTAGAGTCCAGACTCTTGAAAACATCGACAAGAAAAAATACTCTCGATTCAATTAGATTTAAGCTTCAATCAAGAACCAAGCCCCTTAATTTGAGCGGATTTCCTTTTGATTTAAGCTTAAATCTGATAGAATCAAGAGTCCTATTTCTTGTCAATGTTTTCTAGAGTCTGGACTCAAGATCAAATGTGTTTCTTTTTTCCAGTGCACTTTTCAACCGCCTAGCTTTTCAGATAAGAAACTTAATTTCATAATATTCAAGTGCCGTACCAATAAATCAGCATTAAATATAAATAAATATAAAGATAAGAGGAATTAATTAAATCATGTAAACGTCATTAAATTATTCCAGTGTTTAATTGTCCCATTTTCTCCCCTGCCTGAAACCTCTCAGGCATAACCCCGATCACTATGAGAGCCTTCGTAAATCTACGAGACCATTCCGACGCGACGATATTATTCCGCTGAACGGAGCGACAAAGCGCAGAGAGACAGGGAACGGGGGAAATATGACGCGAGAGGGTCTAAATCGGGATGCAATGAAGATACCCCGCGATCTTGATACGGTGGAAGAAACAGTTTATTTAATTAATCTGGGACCTTGGCGGCGGCGGCGAGGGTCGGGGGTGGATGTTCGCCACACCCCTGTCGTGAGGGATCAACGCTCACCATCCGCGGCACATCGGTTAATGAACGTTGAGTGACTAATGATGGCCACTGTCCCGGCTTCCCGCGGTCAAAACTCGCGGAAACAAAAGCCGACAGCCGTGCAAAGCGAACTTAATCGCTTTCTGATGCTTCTTTCACGAGAAACGACTTTTTACGCGGCCTCGAAAGTTTGCCCGGCACCGCGACGACGCGGCCGTTGGAACCCACCCGAGCTTAACGCCCTCCCTCCGCGACTCCGGAACGGAAAAACGCGGCTTTTCATCTTGAGCTTCGCGAAAATTTTTGACATTCGCGTATCTTGCGTTTCCGATGAGCTCTACGTTCGTATCGATTCCGTGCTTTTCAGGGTTCACGTCAAGATGGAGTAGCGCCGGTTTTTCGTCGGGCCTATCAATAGTCCGCATTACTTCTGCTTCGTTTGATACGCTTCAAGTTCGTCCATTATTTGAAGCTATCCGATTGAAAACCGAAAACGGTTGGTTTTTGCTCTATGGGTCTATGGGATGAGACGTTAACCTTTTAAAGTCACGGAGTGCACAAAGGCAGCATCATGACGCGCCTTACTTTTACCCGTTTTTATGAAACGATAATGGGGAATCGTTTACGGTTATTCACTCGAATAGAATGACAACAAAATTGATGAATAATTGGATCCACTTTGTGTTAAACGTCGGTGGAAAGCCACGACTTTGAGCTTTTGGGCAAGCTATAAAATTTTAAATTTGCTGGAATAGAACTCTGAAAAGTGAATTTTTCTGAATTCACTAAAAGAGAGGCTGTTAAGTTAGTATACCGCATACACTAAAGAATGAGGTCGTCCATCAAACCTTTACACCTCGTTGAAAGACTCCAAAATCGAAGAACGTTAGTATCAATTGCAAATGTCGTTAAAGAGCTAACATATAACACCAGAAGTATTACAAAAACAATGTAAGCACACCGGATAATTAGACACAGCTCCCGAAATACTGCAATTTGTATTTTTTCCTAATTTACCGCAGCCTTTTCCTCTTAAAAGCATCAGGTGCCAAGGCGGAAGGCAACTAATATGATGATGATTTATCCTCTCAGGGAAAGCAATAGTAGAATAAATACTAAAAGGTAATTGATTTTTCTGGATCTGCACAATGCCTATGTATCTAGTTCTTAAGTTTCGTGTGCTATGTACTGACATAGTTGTTTCTTTCGCTTTGTTTCCTTTTTCTTTGAGGATTCTACTGAAATGTAAAGGTTTTATTCCTGGGATTCATCGAATCCCAATATTTAACATTTTTCACAAATTTCAGACTTTTTAATCAATTGATAGTGTTTTCTTGGTTTTTCTAATTTCTACTTTTGTCAAAATTTCGAATACTTTAGAAAAGAAGATTGGATTATTGTTCTTTTATTTATATTTAGTGTTTATATATGTCCTGATTTTAAATTTACCTCCTCCGTCGTTCTTGGCATATAGTTTTTGGAACTTAAATTTGAAATAAATTTTGTAAAATATATTTTCCACCGTTTAAATAAATGTTACAGTGTGTGTTGTTTCAATTTTTGGGCTTGTGCAGGAGGCGGAAAGAAAATGCAGGCATTTTACGTGCACATTCTACTGCTTGCTGACTGTTGCAGGACGGATCAGGCTTTGCGATTACCGCAGATGGGTGGAACTATGGAGGGCCTCACCAGCGATGCCCAAGAAAGAGTTCGTTAGTGTCACGATTCATTTTCTAACAAGCTCCTTCAAGCTAGTTTCGGCGTGCCTAAATAGTGGAAAAATTGTGTCCGATTCCCAGATGCCGGAAGATATGGCAGATTTTATAACGTTAGTTTTGGCCCGTTGGGAAACACGGGCATTGAAAGTGATCACTGTCGGCTCATCTGACAACGGGAGCAATTGGACTGCATTTTGCAATTCGGAACTATAAATTCTGGCTCCTTTGAAAAAACTCGTATGTGCATAGGGAAATTAACGGCACATACGTTGTTTTTAAATCGGGCCAGAATTTATAGTTCCAAATTGCAAAATGCAGTCCAATTGTCCAACGCAAAGGAGCTGCTCCACATAGGCTTCATTCCTTGCTTCCGTCACACTTCGAACGTTGGCGTCAATAAATTTTTCTGCCACCCCATCATCAAGGCAAATTCATAAAAGAAAGTCTGCATCCAATCCATGTTTGGCGCCAAAGGCGACAGTACAAAAACCGTTGTGCTGGAAGAGTCGATATAACAGAAAAGTCAAATAAACAAAGTTTGTCAATAATAAACATAGAGAGAGCAACTTCGGAAGCTGTAAAGACTCAGATTTAAGGTAAAGAGCGGTTAGGGTCCCCCGTGTCCAAACATTGAAGCCTCAGTGGGCTACGGAAACAATGAATTCAATATTCTCGGTGTCGATTGCCCGCAAAACAGATTTTTTCGTAGCCTTCCGGCCAATGTAGCGAACTAGCATTTTTTAAGGGGACTCGGTTCCCCGCCTTTAGGGGTCAATGTTTCGGACACGGATGGTCCGATTTGGAATTTCTCGGTGGCAAAGTGGGTTAACATTTTCCCCAGCTTCCGATTTCGATCAAATAATTGAAGATTTTGACAAAAACCTCGACCTTAAAAATGATAATCCCTGTCCACAGTCTCCGACTTCGTCCGATCTAAAGCAACAGATCAAATAGCCAGCTACGGGTGGTTTTGGACAACCTGATTGATTTTTATTCTACATCTCGAAAAGTGTTCGAGGTGTTTAGAAATGTTATTTCTATATAATTGCCACTTGAATTAAATGTTTCTAAATTATAAAGTTGGTTACAACCGTCTTTACTTATTAGGCATGTAACAAAATTCTGCGATTCTTCATTGTCGTCTAAAGATGAGCGGATCGTACTTGGAGTTGCTTCCCCACATTTAGCTGGTTCTTCTCGCTCTATCTCTTCGACCTATATTCCGTAGATGCATTCACTAGTTGTTAATTACTTTTTTGTTCACTTAGAAAAACTGATAACGGACTAATGGCTCTAAACGTTAAGGCCGATATGAGGATTACTTATTCCATGTTCTGCCTGCATTGTCGGCTTCACCCTAAAAAAACAATACATACTTAGTTTGCATTTCCGTTTTCCGCGTAACGCAAAACATCGTAGTTCGTGGCATTACAAATCCGAAAGCGAGGTAATTCAAGGAATACCACGAACCTAATGCAGACGTTCTGAAAGCAACTGAGCTCTTGATTTTGAAAGAAAAAATTGAAAACTTACGGTTGGACTTTTTCGACGGGAAAAAGAGTAAAATGTTGGTAGTAAACTACGGAATCTCGTGACATACCTGAAACAAGAAACACATTTCATCAATATAAATTTTCGTTTAGAAAGATGTCAAAATTTTTTGTTACGATAGAATATTGTAATCACACGGTTGAAATCAGCTCACGTAACCCCGCAGGGTTTCCATAGTTCCTTAAGTTTCCGATTCCCTGAACCGCGAAAAACCTATCGCTTGGATTTTTTCGCCTTTTAATAATGTTGAATACTGCGACATGACCTAGCATGTCCAATGAATTCCTCGACTTTTCGAAGTTGTCATGTGTTCCCTGACGTTTCGAGGTTGCCGCGTATTCCCTGAATTTTCGAGTTGGCCGTGAATACCCTAACTTTTCAGGTTGCCATGAATTCCCTGACTTTCCAGACCACTGTATACCTTGCCTTGATAGTGGCCAGGATTACAAAATAGGGTAAATTCTGTAAAGTCGAGTTGACGTTGCCTCACGACTCACGTGTTGACGTCATCAACACGTGACGAAATTCTTTCCGCGGTCAGCGACGAGGAAAGGTTAATTCTTGTTTGTAGACAAGACAGTTCAGTTTAGACAGGTTAGTTTTTGTTTGTCCAAAAGACAGAAATGATATTAGGAACCAATTAGAATGAATACGCAATGGATCAGAAAAGCTGATGTGGAAAAATATATTTAAATGAAAAAATCAAAAGATGCATTTTAAGAACAGGATCTTCATTTGATGCACATAAGCTAAGTTTGGGGACGTTCGAGGATACCACGTCCAAAATGACGCCAGATTAGCATTTGGGCTGAAACCAATAAACTTATGGAGAAGAAAACAAGCAGTGAACTCCAACACAATGTGTTGATAAGGCGCGTCATTAACTCGCACATATCAACCCCTTTAGTTTTCATTTACAGAGATTTCAAAATAGGCAAACAGCATAAAAAGGGAATTCACGATCCAACACTGCGAGGTCAAAGACGCACCTTGACGAGACCGTGTATTGTGAAAGTAGAAAGCTATTCGATCGAATTTAAGTTTTTTGATCTGCCTCAAGCAAAATCTTATCAGATTCTTGAAGAAAAGTGCTACGGAATAATTTAAGCGAAGAAAGGAAAAATTCTGTCGAACTCCTAGAAGATAAAGTCGATTTAAAGGTATTTTGGGGCTAAAATACCCAAATCACCGGTAGTAAAAATCCCGTTATATTATTGAAAAGAAATTGACTCGATATAAATGCAATTGCATTAAATACGTCTTGATTTTGTTATTTTAAACGTCTTTCCATGCAAAGAAGTTCAACCATGTCGTTGCTTTATTCATTCATGAATTGAAAGTAAGCAATCTACATCCCGAAAATCTACTGATTTGCCGTAAAAAATTGCAGAAACTTGATATACCAGGTCGATGCACCCACTCGTTGAATTTACCAACCAATTTTGTGAGTGCA